TTTTTCATTACAAATTTTACACCGTGCTATGACAAATAAAACAAATTCATTCAAAGCATGCCTCGAAAATTTTACAAGTCACCTTGACAAGAGGAGGCCACACTTGAAACAAATTTTCTTTTATCTCTTCTATTTCTTAATAATTATAATGGACAACTAACATGGTTTTTGTTGGAACCAGTAAGTACAAAACATAGGGGAAAAAAATAAGTAAGAAAGCTTTATTTACATACCAAAGCTTTTAAATCTTAGTAGATAATTTTTATTTTTATTTTGTTGTATTAATATGTATGCCTTACACTAACAATTAAAGAAAATAATAATAAAATAAAAACGATTTCTTTTTTAGATTTATCGGACAATTTACAGTTCACTTTGTTAGTAAATATCACTGGTGGTAGTTTTTACTTAAAATACTTACTCGAAATTCATAGGTGCCCGTTGTTTTGCAAAGGAGTGTGCGATTTTTGAATCGTTCGCTAACATTCATTTGAAGTCTGCACTATTCTACTATTGGACGAAGAAGAAAGGGTTGGCCCATTTTATCATTCACTATTTATTCCCTTATCACTGAAAATATTACTATTTTACCTTTATACTATTTTACCATTCATATACGATTTTCAGTAAAGATAGGATGTTTTTGCTTTGATGTTTTTAAATATTCAATAAATGTAAGAGTTTGCAGTCGTAAAAAGGCTTTCATTTTGAATTACCGTTTTAAAATAAAGTGCACTTAGAATACAGTTGTACATAGCGTCGCCTTACTTTCTCAAACACATAACATTGAAGAGTGATTATACAGAAGATGGCAAAAGTTTCTATTTATTTTAAATTTCTTATCAAGGGTGTTAATTTGGGTGCATTACTTTAAGAATAGGTAAAAGCCAGTGTGTGAATATGAAGGAAATGTGATGTGAAATCTGCCTGCAAAATTTGTAGATGCTGCCTATTTTTTGCATTTCAGTAACATTAAGCTTTAAGATACGAGTTTGGGAAAGTAAGGCGATATAGTAAATTCTACAGACGGAGTCAATAAATACAGTTGGTAAAAGCGCAATGGCCCGGCGCATGGCAAAAGGTGCTGGGTCAATTCCAGTTAGATCGTAGGATTTTTTCTTTGTGTTGTTACATCTTTGTAATAATAATAATAACAACATTATTGTAGCAAATATATGAATGTCATAGTAGTGAAACATCATGATATTCAATAAATAAATATTGTATTTATTAATTCGACTATAACTTGTTTTGCGACCTTGTTGCACTCGGAAATAATAATACTTCAACTAGTCACACATATTTCCTGGCGTCTCAATGACAAAAGTCATTCATTTTTTATATTTTTCTTTCGAAAAATATTTTTTTTGAAAGTTGAACCTATATAATACGATTGAATTTGTGTTTCAACCAAATAAAAAGAATATATGTTTGTTTGTCCGATTGCGATAAAAGTTTCGTGAGCTGTTATGCCCACGCCCGCAAACGTTTCAAAAGTATTAGATCCCACTGCTGGGCACGGATGACCTCTAAAGAGAGGACTAGGCCCATAGTCCAACGCGGATTGAGGACTTCACGTTTTAATGGCATTGTAATGCACGGGTACAGATAGTTGGAAATGAAACAAGAATTTTTGTTATAAGAATAGCTAATGGGCAAACCAAAACAGCTCCTCTAAAGCCAGGAAACTACCTGCAATATTATTTTGAAATATTAAAAATAAACAAATACGATCCAAATGACCGCTAAGATTTGTCCCCTATTTTTATGTTATTTTATAGGTGTAAATCGGAGCGACTAGAGTGTTATGTGAACTTATGAGTAAAACTGCTGTGCCACATAACATATGCAGATCGTTGTATGTGGACTCTATAGAGTAGCATTAGAACTCATTGTGAAAGAGTTCGTCCAGAGTAGCCACTGCCCCCTTGCCTATTTCTGCCGCCTAGCAGTAACGTGGCCATTGCGTGAAATTACAGGCACATGAGACTTGTCAATTTGCGTCAGGGTGACGGGCGTTGTGGCAGCGCCCTTCAAATCTTTGCGACTTAAAGCTGCCAGTAGCACTGCAACTGCTACGGACAGGCGTGTCGCTTACAACCAGGCGCACGCCTTGCTCGTCCATTGGTATCATAAAAAAAAGACCGCCGATATCTTGGGAAGTTTTAAACATGTTTATGTAACTACCAACACACACGAATATTTGCATCATGTCAATATGTATAACTTATATAACGTACAATATCTTTATTATTTTTCCCGTTTAGATAAAAGTAATACGGCAATGTAACAGTTAGCGTCCAGTTACACGACGTGAAAATACCGTACATGAATGGCGAATCTGAATCCTATTTACTAGGCAACAACATTTGAATTCCTCCGAATAGTACAACCGCGCGGTCGCCGCGCGGCCTCCGCGTAGACCAAAGACAAGCCAGTCTCGCCCGCGTGCCCGTAATGCTTATTTAAGTTAAAACGTAAAAACTAAATAAATAGAGCTTACTTTGCGATGACAGTTAGTTGCACGCGGTCGTTGCGCGGCGGCAACGCGGCGGCCGCGCCGCTACCGCGACGTGGACGCGTTGAAATTCGTATCGAATAAATGTGTCTTTATAGTGCCAAGGCCCGTGATGTGAAACGTGCCGATTTGTATGGGCGTGCTCGCGAAACGGGCGAGTCCGGGCGGCCTCGGGCCAATATCCGTGGTACCAGCAGCGGCGGATCCGAACAGGCCGCCAAGGGCGAGCACGGTCGCAGTGCGTATGGGATCTTCTATAACTGCTGTACCGCGAGTTTAAAGAGACAGTTTTCTTTAGTAATAACATTAAATATGAAACATTTTGTATGGTTGTTATTTATTAGTATATGTAGATATGTTGCCCCCTTAGCAGTCACGAGAAGTAACATTTCGTATCCAAGTATTTTACGCACTCGCTAGCGACGTGGAGTTTAATATAACATTTAAAGGTAGACGTTCATTATCAACCCATTTATACGTCCCACTGTTGCGCCCGTGCCCAATTAGACCGGTGTCTCTTCTCAGGCAAGGGTTTAGGCCACAGTCCGCCACGCTCGCCCAGTTCGGGTTGGGCACTACACACGTTTTCATAGGTTTGTGAACCTTCTTCGACTTACAGTTTTCCTTCACCGAAACGTTCATTGCATATTCCTAAATTAAATTTCGCAAATTAATTCCGCAAAACTCAAAGACCCGGATTCGAACCCACGCCCTGTGCTGAAGAGGTTGTAGGCTATCAGCAGCTTTGTTTTGATTGCCTCTCCCGATCTGAAACTGCGTCTTTTCCGAGTCGAGGCGCATAATTGCGATTCACAGCAGACCGATCGGAAACTTTTGAAATTTCTGATCGGAACAATAGTTGATTTAACTCACAAATTAGAAAGACATAGTAGGAATCAGGTTCATCTTCTTGCTCAGAAACCCATTTAATTTCGAGACTATCCGATCGGATCCATTCCGATATGAATTAATATCAGGACGCAGGGCTCGTAAGTTACGCGAAAAAAATTAATAACCTGTATTATACAGTTTAGACTTCTACAACGTAACGTGTATCAAAGATGCCTCTTACTATGTTGCAAAGTATTGTAGAGCCAATTTCGTCTAGGCACCACTTCAGTCTATGTAATTTTGTAGCTTTCCAGATGTACGATATGGAAACATTTCATTTACTGGCCATTCGAGTGCCAGTATTATAAATTTAAATGAAACACCGTGCTTTCTTTGTGTTGTTACAAAACAATGCAATGGCGTCAATTTTCAAAGAAAATAAAGTTAAAAGATCAGTTTTAGGAACAAAGTGGTCCCATAGGTTCAAGGTGCAATGTTTTGTGGATTTAATTACGACGTAGCCGGCGTTAATTTTTTTGCAGTTACCCTGTTTATCGGTCAAAGTGCACGTTATCCTTGCCTTACTTCCTGTTAAGTAAGATTACAAATGTTTATTCTTTAAAAATATATCATTCATTCAAATAGCGAATACTTTTAAACTTAATTAATTATAAAACTGGTGCATAAGTAGCAGTGGTACATATATACAGCCAGTGACGGTATTTATGAATGGAATATCGAGTTCGTAGGTTCTCATAGTAGGGACTCATGACTCAGTCAACCATGATCATGGGACCTGTAAAGGCACAGACCAAACAAAGAGCCTAAAACGTATTTTATTTCAAAAAAACAAATATACGCGATCGAGATCCGAAAAAATAGTTTCATTTCGTATTAATGGAATATCTGAGAATAATTATTTCACGATTTTCTGAGAAAATTTTAGTCTTCGCTATCAACCCACACATTCCTTCTTTTTTTTATTAGGCATATCTTATAGAACATTGGCCATGGGTACAAAAATGTACACATATTAAATAGTTCATTTAATAAGTTTTGGTCTGAATTTCGCCTACCTAAGTATTTACAACACGGAAAACCACCTTTTTTTATAATATCAAGTGACGGGACGGTCAAGTCGTGCGCCTAATGGTAAGCTACACGCCTGTCCATAACAGTTGCTGTACCACTCAGGGCTTTAAATCGCAAAGATCTGAGGGGCATTGCCACTACCTGATAACAGCCATTAAATAGTAATTAGCAACTTTTATTGCTAAACGCGCAAGAGTGTAAGGAGTCCATGAATACTAAAGTTACCAGAATATTTATTAGCCATCCACCCGAGCCTGTGATTTCTGCCGAAAAAGGGGTTGGACGCGTAGTACGTCAGCTTAAACCATTGTTTCTACAAATTACCGGTAAAATCCTGAAAGACTGAATAACAAAGCCGAAAAGCTGTCTTGTACCTTACGCGGTCAATCGGCTTTTACTTTTGACCCTGATTGTGACGATTAATATCCGTTTGTAACAGAAGAAATACATTCTTTAAAGACCCTTACTTGTTAGTGTTTAATTCACGTCTTATATATATCTATGTACGTGTTTATACAAAATGTTGTTCAAATAAAGAAAATTATATTCGTTGTTTCAGACGAGCTGTGCGCCGTTGGAAGCAAACTCAGAGTCAGTGAGGGTAGTTGAAGTCCGTGCGACCGCCGCCATACACAGCCCGCCCGCCCGCATAGGATGGTAGAAACTGACCCCGGGCCTAAGAAACCTCACAGTAAGCCATCTTTTACTCAACATTGATTGCTCTTAGCTTTCATAGTGCCTAAAATTACGAAAATATAGACTAAACATCACAGTAAGCCATAATTTACGCTTAGGTACTCTACATTTTCTTAGGTATTATAGTAGTCTACGATACTTACATTATTTCCCGATAAAAATATACCTCTAAATTGGTTGATTCGTATGACGCATGGTAGGTCAATGGACGCAATGCTTAAAAATTTATAGTTTCGTTTCTTCTTTTTTATTATTATTGACTTTACAGGCTCGGATTACTTTTCGATAATCAGTTTAAAACGAAATATTGAACAAAATATTCAGATTTTGCTCCACTCCTCATAATTATAATATGTGATCTTTTCACAGATTGTGATGTAAAAAGGGACCACCAACTAAACGGGCCAGATTCCAAAATTGCTGAGCTCAGTAAGTGTATAACTTTACTATTTTGATTATTTTATATATGTGTCAATCATTTAGCTTTTAGACAGTACCTTCACCTTCAGCAAAAGAGTACCTACAAAGTACTTATAAATCAACTGAGAATCAATCTATGGAATATTTTATTTATCCTAAGTAGTTTTGAAAGTTATTAGCACATAATATAGTATGTACTTCCATTTATTTTTGTTAGAGATTTTAAGGAAATTGATAAATTTCTGAGCGGAAAAATAAAAAATCAGCAAAAGATTTAAAATAACGACGCAATTTAAGAGTAAACACAAAAATGGCGTATTACATTCTAGCTACACGGCCACACACTAGTATCATAGATAGAGTTGTTAGTCTATCATACCAAAGTTAATTTCATTTAATGGAATAGGATACAAACCAGAGTTTTGGCGGTAAGAGTAGACATTTTTTTTAAATACAAAAAACCATTCAAAATTGTCGTGGAAGCAATGTTTATTTTAAATGGTCATCTACCTAAAACAAATTTTGGACCACTGTAAATGGTCTGATATAGTAACAATTCTATCTGAATCGTACAAAGTACGAGTGAGGTAGAATTGTGAAATAGATGTATGTTCGAGTATAAGACATAAATGATTTAATACATTAACAATAATAATACAGGGCGAACCAAAAAGTTCTAAATTTTTTGGGCGAAATCAACCATTATTTATTAGGTACCAGCCTATAGAAAATTTTTCCCCACAACATCCATATCCGATTTGCAACTTCCAATACAAAACATAACCAGCTTATATCATTATTTGTATAGAGTGTTCAGAGACTTCAATATTCAAACTGCGATAACCGCGTAACGATGTCCTTAGGTCTCATATAATTTTTTGTACAAATAAAAAAAAAACAAAAAATAAAGAAAGGAATTCTAAGAATGGAAAAAGATTTTGAATTGTGATTATCCGTTTCGATATTATTGTCGTTGTATATCTATTTCATTTTTCTTACACTGCGCGTGGCACTGTTTACACTAGCGTGAAACCCTCTTAACAAATCGGAAGCAAAACAAATGCTTTGGAAGCACTAAACAAAACACTACACAACACTATTAAGATTACAATGAGATATCTTACCGCTTGTTAATTACTACACACTTGTACACTATTTGCATCTAATGCGTTTATTTACGGCCTAACTATAATGAATTTAACATAAGTACTTGGCCGTAATTATACTGGGTGTTAAATAATTTACGGTATACCAACTTTAGAAGAAATTGTCTGGTGTCTCTAACAGAACAGGATATGACAGGAAACTAATATAAATATATTACTGCTGCGCATATTTTGTGGCAGGAAAACCTATTTTTGGCGAATTTACCATAATAAAATAACCACGAGTACAAACTTCCTATGTAGCCCTGAATAAGTGAGGCTCTGAATAACTCACCCTAATAATGGTAGTTGGTTACACACTTACGCTGCGTAGCGTAATGACATCGACATACGTGTTGATGTACAGGTAAAACTATAAAGGAAACTAGAAAGGAATTATAAAGGAGGTAGACAATTATTTCACTAAATAAATACATTTCCAGAGAGTTTTATAACAACAGTACATTTTTTCTAAGTTATTTCAATTTTATACTGTTTTTTTTATACTGTTTATCGTGACTACTAAAATGTCTAAATACGACATATAATGCAACGATTCCGCTGTTTCCTTTGTAAGATATCGGTAGACCATGAAAGTCATAAAAAAATTGTAGTGTGTACTAAAGTACAATCTAATTTCTTGAGATTACACTTGTATCAATCCGCAAATAATGGTACAATTAGCGTCACAACTAATTTGAAATAACGAAATATTAGACTGGCTCATTTTAAATTAAGTCATTATTATAATTGAATTTAACTTCAATAATTGAATTTTACAGGCGTCGTCCCGTCGCTGAAGACTCCAAAATCAGATCCGGAAAAAGGAGGAAACTCCGAAAAGGCTGATTTCGAAAAAGCTATCGAATTAACCGGTAAGTATATTTATTATTCGTTATACTGCAAACAACACGTAATTAAACACTATGACCTAGAAGTTAGTTGCATTGTACACATTCTATTGCATAACACGAGACTTGTACAGGAACTTGAATATGCAAATAAAATTGTAATAGGAACTAAAGATATTCTTACGTTTTATGAATGAGGGTGTAGAGTTTCTTGCACGTGGAGGGACCGAGTAAACAAATATTTCGTGGAATGTATTGCACAGTGGCAGGCGTAAGCGTGCCTGGAAAATGTGACGTTCATAGATTTAGTTGACTAATTACGGTTCCAAGAAGGCTCAAGTCTTCTTGGAACCGTAATCGTGTGAAGCTTAAATTCCTGCGAGATAAAAACTACGACGTAAAAACATACCCGTAAGGTCGGATTCGATTTAAAGCTATTACAAACTTGCCTACTACAAAATTTTGTTTACGTGTTTTCTGGACGTGCCTCCTTCAAAACTAAATATTGTTTGCTTTGTCTCTTGTACAACAAATAAATAGATATATCGAACAATTAAAACGGACTGTACTGAACAGTTAAAATGAATTGACGCATAATTTATAGATACCATTAAAAATATAACTTTAAAAAAAATTTTTGTATAGAGTCGGTAAACTATTAGAATTGCGAAAAATATATTCTTTGTCGCACAAGGCCACAAAAGTGAGTAAACAATCGGCCGGGCGCAATGAAAGAGAAGAAATACCGATTCGTAACAAATTTTCGTTTCTAATGTTTCTCATAAATCAATAATCGAGTATGAAATCGTAACTTATCAGAAAAGAAACCTATCACAAAAAAAAACTAGAAATTGTAATGCTATTTACAACAACGTATGTGTGCATGGGTATGTTGTTTACTATTCGATATAATACTTGCATTCCGAAGAGTCGGCGGTTCATAGATTTTTGATAACAAATGGAAATCTTAAAAAACACAATTGACTTTCTATGGAATGAGTTACTTGATATAAACAGCCAACAATGTAATAGGAGCACAGAGACAGTATTTTGCATTTCCTGGATTTACAGGATGTTAGGTTGTTGACAGTAGACCTTTATTGGGGTTGTGTGATATTTCAAATGTAGTGTGTGAGGGAAGATTATCGTAATTAGTAACAACAGCAAGCCACATCTAAACTTGTTGACCGGTAGGTACTTATGTATTAAAAAAAAATTAAATGCAATTAATATTATTGAATTTTAACTTTATAATAATTGCATGCTTGAAAATGGTAAATGTTGCGGACGACTTTTAATATTTTTTTTATTTAATAGTTTATTGTACAGGAAAAATACAACAAGTCACAAAGAATACAAGCGAAATTAAAAACAAAAGGTTCTGCTTATTTCTAATAGAAATTTCTTCCTGCAGACCTAAATACATATTTTTTCACAAAATTTAGTATAAAGAAAAGGTACCACCGGCTTATTTATTTCTACCACAACGCAACAGTACTTTGTTCTGCATTTATGAGTAGGAAGACCAGCACCGTCAGAAATAGGAGAATTATCTTACGTCTCATGGCTGGTACCGTATTTGCGCCTACCTGGTGAGTCACCGGAGAAGCGGGAAAAACTGTTTTGCTAAATCAAATGATTTAGGTATTTACTATTAAATAACGATCTTATAAAAACATACGATATACTTAAGGATATTGTCTAAAGAATGTGCTAACTCGTTACACGATAGGATGTACTTTACTTGAACGTATAAAATCCCGAAAACAGGCAAAATATATGTCTAAAACGAATTATTTAAGAATAAAATATCTAACTTTGCACATAATTTTACTCGGAGATATTTCTCTTTAAATACCTAAATAAGATTTATGTTATAATAAACTAGTGGAGTAATTTCACAAAAAAAGAATTGAATGTAAATTCAATAAAAATTTAATTAAGATTTATGTATTGTCGATGTAGACAACATACGGCATTAACTTAAACCTTAGTGGTTTTTAAATCTTGTAATAATTGTTTGTTTTGTACGTACTACAGAGAACTTCCTAGATTTTTGTTTTCAACTGGAGCCCTATGGTTATTAAATTCACATTTATCCCAAAACTTGAAAATTGCCCAGCGGTTTAACGACTGTCGCCATTAGACGCTTGCGAACGTCGGGTCAGTGTCAAAGTTTCTCCGCCTGTTCTTATTTTATACATTTAAATCCTCACTCCGCACCTCACCTCCTAAAATCTAGGCTCGCATTGAAATACCTCGCCTTAAATGTCTTGGACTCAATTTACATTGCCGAATTTTTGTAACGAAATTGTAAATAACTTAATGAACTTTATGGCAATAGTGTAACGTACAAACTATGGTTACAAAAAGTCCATTCCATTCCGTTCCGAAGCTATTTAAATTGAGCCTTAATATCGGTAGACTGTTTGTTTGTGGATTTGAATAAAAAAAAACTTTATGTCAGGTTATGGACGGTTCCACTACCTGCTGCTGGCAGTCTGCGGGCTGGTCAGCACTTCAGAGGAGATGGACGTCATCTCCATGTCCTTCATCCTGCCTTCGGCCCAGTGCGACCTAGACCTCACCACGCAGACCAAAGTAAGTTATTAACTTGTAAACCGCCTTCAAAAACAGATAAGTTATCTGTTTACCCCGTTTATATGTATGTGGGTACGATCACATATTTGTCTTCACAAACACAACTAAGCACCGAAGACATAATCGTTTCGAATTATGCAGTTTTAGAACGCAAAGTTTTTTTTGAAATAAAGATTTCTTTGATTGACATTCATTCAGGTGCAACAATGTAAATTTTGTAACGCGGAAATAAAGTCCATTTTTTCGTGTAAAAATAAAATTGCTAATTTTAAATAGTAGTAGGAATACAACGTTACTTAGCACTCTATTCACTAATTTCTAACAAAATGGGACCGTGACATCACGCTTTGCTTTAACACCGTGCGAAATTTGAACATGTCCTCCAAATGACGTCGCAAATCGGCCACATTTTTTAAATACGACTGTGAGTACAAGTGAGGTTTGTAGCGATGTCAAAATAACAGTTTTTTGAACATACAGCTTGTTATGTATACGGGCAACTTACGTTTTATATAGAGCTTAGATACGTTTTTGTATAATATACAATGTTACTATTAATGTATTTAAGAACTTTAATATATGTAAATATTCAATGTTACTAGAGCTACGAAGTGCTTCTAAGAACTGACCTAACGATTCTTTTGTTAAATAACAAAAAACACTATTCACTTCCTTTGCCAAAATATCCGTCCAATGTCAATTGATCAACGCTGCATGTCCTAAGCATTACTCATTATTTTCAATGCCTACCAATTATTTTCAAAATCACTATACAATGAGCATCTTATTACTATGGTTATACTCACAAAACTAAATATTACGGACCTACTTAACTAGGTATGCAAATTCTCAATACTTAATGAGTTATGGTTAGTTTTCTAAATGCTGAGGGTAAGCAAGGTATTGTGTCATCTTTATGTTCTGAGAGGTAATCAATTAAGTTCTCATTCATTTTGCTTCCAAAATTAGACTCCCAAAAATAGAAATACAAAGACAAAGTTATTTATGAATGACGGTCAGCTAAATAATTAAAAGCATGTATAATTACGAGTATAAGAGAACAATTGTAAATAATACTACCGAGACTTCCAATCTGTCGCTACAGATTAATTTATAATTAGATACTAAGGTCTCACTGTCTTCCTTGCCCGTCACTACCTTTTTAACTCATTTCAATCCGGTGCGCTCGGATCGTAGTACAACTACTACTCTTGTCAAGATTTCTGATGACGTTCCATTAGGGATGGACAATCAGCTTACTGTCCTCACATTGTTGGACGTCAGCAATGCCTTCAATATTGTCGGCTTCGAAATATTACTTTTTTTATTTTTTATTTATTTATTAACTTATATACATTTTTATATTGATTTGAGCTGCTTGATTCTCTTGGCGTTTCATTAACAGTAATTGACTGGTTTCGAAGCTACGGCGTACGGGCGCCAGCAGATTCGTTAAGACTATTCTCTTTCTAACTTATCTACTATGTTACTGCTGGCGTGCCGCAGGGTGTCATTTTTTCCCCTCTTCTGTTTACAATCCTCATCAATTCCAACACCTCTTTACTCACTTCTTCATACCATCTTTATGCAAATGATCTTCAAATTTATTCATTTGTGTGGTCTCTTAGAGTTAATCCTGTCAAGACCCATATTGGCAGCCCCAGGTTCATATCGCGTATCGACCCTGTCTTATTGCCTCCCATGGCATGGCGTCAAATGGCAAATCACTATACGGGATACCGTTAGGAACCTTGGAGTCACTTTTGATACGAGCCTAACTTGGAAACCTCAAGTCACCGAAGTTAGTAGGAGACTGTTTGCTGCTTACATGTCCTTTCCGGCTAGGAAATTTTGTACCCATTCCGACTAAAATTAGTCTGGCACAGTCGCTCCTTTTGCATAATTCTAGATATGCGGATGCTTATTATTTAGACTTGTCTGGGAGTCTACTCAACAAGTGGAGCGGTTGCAGAATGTATGCATTAGCCTCTACTAAATACGAGTCACCTATAAGCCGCTTTGGCACTTGATTTTTTTCTGGTATGCCGATATTTTTTAGTAAATATAGAATTTTACTAGAACCGTCTCCTGGGAAGTTCTTTAAGATTATTACGACAATAACTAAAAATTAAAGGCTTGGCTTTCAAAGTGCAACATTCCATTAATAGCAATTTTGCATGATTTGAAGGTATGCAGACGATAAAATTGATTTCCTAGCGGTGGATATAATCACACCGAGATTAGATCGTTTTATGTTACTCTAAACGTGATTGAGCAATGACTGAATACTACAAGCTTCCCCATTTTACACTACATTCTAAATACTTTAGATTTCGTATGGATCATATTAATATTAAATCTATGGATTATAAGGATTTATAAGACACTTAGCAAAGAAAAACAACGTTTAAACAATTTACGTTATGCCTAAATTTCTTTTTTGAAAATACATTTACTATTCTTCTAAACCATACATCTTCACATCATATTGTTCTTAGGTGGTAATCGATGGAATTTCCATTGCCTTGAGATTTGATTACAGTATGTAGTATGTTTACCCTACATACATTTGTTTCTTTCAGGGATGGCTAAACAGTATAATCTTCATCGGCATGATGGTGGGGGCGTACGCGTGGGGCTCTGTGGCGGACTCTTTGGGCCGCAAACGGGTGCTTATAGCTATCTCCATCATCAATGCACTCGCCATCGTCGCCTCTTCATTCAGTCAGAACTACGCACTCTTCATGGTGTTTCGTTTTATCAATGGTGCTGCGTAAGTGTTGTTCGGAAACATTGTAGTACATGTTGAGACTATCTAATAAATATATCAATCAAGTTAGCAAGTCAGTGGTCAAAAGATATCTAACCAATAGCATCTGGTAGAAAGAAAATTATGCATAGATCTGTAAGATACCTTTAGTTGGTAAGTAACAATTTTTTTCGTTTTTAGTCTAGGAGGATCAGGTCCAGTGATTTGGTCCTACTTCGCAGAGTTTCAACCTAAAAAGAAACGAGGTGCTATGTTGAGTTTCATGGCTGCTTTCTGGACGCTCGGTAATCTCTTTGTCGCCGGTCTGGCCTGGGTCATCATCCCCAGTGGTGAGATATTTAAAATATATTTGACAATCATCTGCCGTACCTACAACATAATATTTATTCATCTTACATCACAGGTTATCTTACTTTGAGAGTCATGGAATAAATAATATCTTGTAATGATTTAACTATATCCTAGTTTTGATGTTTTGTTGTAACATGTACATTATTATTATATCTAACGATGAATTTATGAATTATTTTCTTTCCAGAAATCGGAGGAGAAACAGGAGGTTTTGTCTACAACTCATGGCGTATCTTCCTTCTCGTGATGTCACTGCCGTCCTTCCTCGTCGCCGCTCTTCTGTTCCTTCTGCCAGAATCTCCCAAATTCTTAATATCGACCGGTCGTCATGACGCTGCATTAGAAGTCTTCAAAGGTATCTATATGATGAACACTGGCCGAAGCAAAGAGGAATATCCAGTCAAGCAGCTCCTTGTAGAAACACCTCTATACACAAAGCCAGAGAAGGCCATCGAGGCTAATAAAGAACCAAAGTCAAAAATGAGAAGAATGCTCAGCGACATCGTTGAACACAGCAAACAGTTATTCGTACCACCTATACTCAAGTTCACTACGATCTCTATCACAATCAATTTTACATTCCATATTGGGTGAGTTTCTTACTTCATTAGAGTTCATTGAGTCTCGAGTGGCCCACTCGAGGGGTTTATGAAAAAAATTCTAACAAAGTTGCAATTAAGTAAGTAACTATACATACTTATGATGACAATTGTTGTCTACAGGTATTACGGTCTTATGATGTGGTTTCCCGAAATGTTCAACCGTTTTGACGAATGGTCGAGGACGCACGACAACGCTCCAGCTGACATTTGCCAAGTGACAGCCTTTGTGACGCAGCAGGGCACACACTCCTCAGCTACTTCATGCGACTCCCATATACACTCTGATGTATTCATGGAGTCACTGATCACAGTCGCCGCTGCTATTCCTTCCAACATCTTTGCTGTGCTCGGTATGGACCGGCTGGGCAGGAAGTTTTTCTTAGGTAAGAAAATTGTGAATTTGACTAATCAGTTGTTCACTATCGGATAGGTTTATAATTCCTTTGGGTCGAATTATTCATTTTATTAACCTAAGACAAAAAGACATTGCAGCTCGCAAGCCATTTCTTGTCTTTTGACTACTGCGTAATCATCACTTAAAAGACCCCGCAAATAAATAAATTCCCATTGCATCCTCAAATTTAATGTATACAGTTTATATGCATAAACTGCTTTATTTTCAGTATTCGCCACCTTCTCAGCGGGCTCTTGTTCGGCCGCCATGTATTTCGTGTATAACAAGACGAACAACCTGATCGTCAGTGCCATCTTCAGTTCAGTCATCTCGTGCGGCAACGCCTCACTGGATTGTCTCATCACTGAAGTCTTCCCCACGAACTTACGGTAAGTTTTTTCTCTTTTAAAGACACTTCAGTATAAATGTAGTTACAAATTCTCTCTTATCTAACACAAGCAGACTTCGTCTGGTGGCACAATTAGTCTCAATTTATATTGCGGTGGAACGGAATGGAGCGAATTTTTGTAACGATATTGTACAAAGCGTAATGGTCAATTGCGTAATGTACAAACTACATAAGAACCAAAACACGCGTCGCGCGTCTTCCGCGGAATTCTCGCGCATGCTCGAAAATGCTCGCGCATTCGCGAGAATTCCGCAGTTGCCGTCGGCGACGCCTGACAAATCCTCGGGAAGTGGCGCGAAGGTAGGCGCAGTGTGGCGTCAAACATCGAGGAAATACTACAGCCTCAAGGCGCGGCCACTGAAATACTCGAGCATTCTAGCGACAGCTCGAGCCTTTTCATTGGCGCGGAGGCGAAATTGACGCTTCCATTCCATTCCGGTCCGCTGAAATGTAAATTGAGCCTTAGTGTTTATGTAATATCTGAGTAGTCTTTGTTTTCTTTTTATCCTTAATCTTCTAATTTCAACAGAGCAACCGGTGTAGCCATATCCATGGTAGCAGCACGTTTGGGAGGGATTATCGGTAATGTAGTAATAGCAACTTTACTGGATTCATACTGCCCAGCTCCCACCTTCATCGTAGCAGTTTTGCTGGCTGGGGGTGGTCTCATGTGCCTCTTCCTGCCAAACACCACGCGTCAAGCTCTGCAATAACAGCGGCACAATCCGTCGATTAGAGTTGTTTACAACTTGCTGTCGATTTGTTATAGAATCTAACCTGTTTTTAGAGTTATATTGAGATCTGACGCAGTGCGCTTACATCCAGAAGTCAAGCTGGCCAGAAGTCGGAGTTCTCGATATCGTCAAAGAACGTGATTAGGCTGTCGATATATTTGTACAATATTTTTATATTTAAATGAATTTTTTATTTATGAAACCGGATAGAGATATTCCTAATAACTGACTGTTGTAGGTTGTTAACTTGTAGTTTAACTTGAAACTAAGTTTCATACTTTCTTTGGTAGTATTATAAGGTTTAAGCATCATTGCGATTTTGTTGTATATTGCAACTATTTTCATATCACGAATTTATAATTTAGTGATTGTTACCGTAGTCTGTAGTTACTTAGAGTAGCTAAGCCATGTGAACCAACCAGATGTACAACACCTGTACCAGAATCTTGTAAATATTTTAATATTATATTTTCACATTTTGCATATTATTATCAATTTCACCTGTAAATTCATAGATGCAAATAAAATAATATCACATGGAAAGTAAATGATAATTAAATATTCATTGTGTTTTATTTCCTATTAACAGTGAGATTAAAGCGTGAAACACACCGAGCTCAGACCCGGGGGGTTTTTTTTAAATACCACGGATTAAAAAAACCAAATTCTGTATATTATGCAAAATTTGTACATGAGCTCCGAGACTACACAGGTATAACCTTAAAATAATAAATCAAACTAACACAGGTATAACCTTGAAATAATTAATCAGTTGTATCTTCTAAACAAAGGAGCGAATAATTCTAAAATTCGCGACTAGAACCGACTAATTCACGACTTTTTCCGGGTGCAATCAGATATACGCTAGCTGTGGTTCTCGAGATTCACAAATGGCGCCGCCGGAATAAGGTTATTCCAGCGTGGACATCTTGTTTTTTGAACCCTCTCAAATTCACCATTTAAACTTCTTCACAAACAAAATCTATTTAAAATATTTAGGAAACGATTTAGGACATCACTAATTGATTCGAATTCGAGCTGTCAGATCGACAGAGTTCGACTGATGTTTATCTAGAATACATTTTTCATGATGTGTACGATTTTTCTACGTAAATGTGCGTACGGACAACGTCACATCAGACTACATTATTACTACACATTTTTGTTCGAAAATCACCTCCATTGCAACGGAACAAGATACGTCAATGTGTACCTTGATGTGCTGGCGTGTGTACATACCTTTCAATGAAAATAATTGAATATGCAATCTCTTCTAAACAAAGGAGCAATTAATTCTAACATTTTGTGACTAGAACCAACTAATTCACGACTTTCTGGGTACAATCAGATCTAAAAATAGCTGTGGTTCTTGAGATTCAAAAATGATGCCGTCGGAATAAGCTTTTCCAGGGTGGACTTTAAAATACCTTAATAACTTCAAAACGACTAAATCAAGACTTTTTTAGTGTAATCAAATCTGTGCTAGGTGTTGTGGTTCTCGAGATTGAGAAATGATGCCGCTGGAATAAGCTTATTTCAGAGTGGTCAGTAAAACAGCAACTTTTGATAGGCGGACCGACTAAATCTAGTTTTTAGCGACTATAACCGACAAAATAGCTACTTTTTTCTGGCTAGTCAAATTTCAAACATTGGTCCATGGTCACGCTGGAATAAGACACGCACAGTAAAACACCTTAATACTTCAAAACGGCGTAACGACTAAATCTACTTTTTCTTTTTTACGTATAGAACCGACTAAATCACGACTTTTTTCTAATCTAAGCTAGGTGTTGTGGTTCTCCGTGGTTCAGCGTGGATAGCAAAACACGCTTCTAACTTTTAAACGGCGGGCCGACCGACTAAATCTAGTTTTTTTGCGACTAGAACCGACTAAATCACGACTATATATCTGGCTAATCAAATTTCAAAAACTCGACTATGGTCACGTTGGAATAAGGCACACAATTTTGTAGGAGTTACTTTTCCCATAACGAAATTTTGGTGTCCTAAGTGTGGTTTATCAATGATGCATTTGACTTTATACACATGGGTAATTGATAATAATTGAAACTTTAAACGCTATGTGGTAGTCTCGTGAGCGACGTGACCCGCTAAAGGATCGAATATATTATGATATTCCCGGGTTATGAGAAATGATAGACCAACACAGGTAGTAAACACGCGTTGGCTCAGCCTTGCAACGCAACGCTACGTTGTTGCATCGATTCAAACACGTGTAAAATGATATACAGATGAGCTTCGAACGCGATTCTCACATGCGTTTGTACAGCTTTATACGCGCGTTTGAATCGATACAATACAATTTGCTTTTAATAATAATAATAATTCGTTATTTCGGACCATAAAATATCCATAGTATGTCAGTAAAAGAACTTATATCAAGGTTAGTAATAATCATTGCAACTTAATTATATTTCGAACTGGGCTACGCCCTTAACTTGCACTATCCAATGTTTCAAGATAGGACAATCATATCTTCCCGATATAGCATTTAAAATGTTGTTAGTACTGAGCCTCACGCGACTCACCAGCGAGACAATTTTTTGCGCATGATGGCCTGGAAGCTGTCCGTGTGAGCCACCGCCAACATACCCGATGCGTAATGCACCACGTTAGCAATCCCATCAGCATTCTAAATGCATTATTATATTGCACGCGCAGGGCGTTAAAGGCTCGTTTTGTATACGTAACCCACAAGCTGCTCGAGTAAAAAGATTGACTATAAGTTTTAAAAAGCGTTATTTTAACTTCGTAGGAGCATCGAGCAAACCTGCGGGCAAGCATATTATACTCCTAACCGCCAACGCCCTGCGCTCCCTTTCAACATCCAGATCATAGTTTAGATCACTTGTTAAAATATGACCAAGATACTTTAGTTTATCTGTAACCTTCAACGGAACTCATTCAACATAATAGTCCCAACAGCGTCGTATACGCGCCTTTGTGAAACGCGCGTCGTTTGCGCGTAAACAATACGCCATGTGCACTCTTATGAGAAGTACATAAAATAAAAATAAATTAATTATGATTAAACTTTATTTATTAAAACTACACAGAAGTTATATTACTAAAGAATCCAGTTCATATTGATCTAGATTCCGTCAGTAGATCACTCAAACAAATCAATATGCGCCTTCGACATACATTAAAAGTTACTTCATCAATATTGTACTTAACATTAATGCTAAATTATGATATTAATATAGTCTGTTACAGTTTTAGCGACCGATGATTTCGCGTACAGTACGGTGACTTCATTCGTGTGTACCTAAGTAGCGAAACACAATACCCTCTTCTGTGGCAGTAGCACTAACGTCCATGTACACTACATTGTACACAATCACTATTCCATAGTACATGATAGACATTATAAAAAATATCGTTATAACTAGATTTTAATATATTACAGAATATACGATCCAACAATATCATAACTCAATTAAAATTTACAATAGTAAATTCTTAAACTAAATATTCTTTACCGTATGCATTATTAATAAATCTACATGTGTATTCAACTCAAACACGACTTAAGAGAAGGTGTTACAATACTCGCCTCCTATACTTTATATTTACACGTTCAACTAACGGCGTACGTTTACAACGCTGGATTACACTACCATACCTCACCAACAACATCTCAACATCAATTTATCGAACCCCATCCAGCACTTTCAGTAACGACATAAAGCCTTTCGAAACCGCTATGAAAAGCTACAAGATACCTACTGCAAAATTCAGTAAAACTTAACTCTATTGCACGTTTCGTAATATCGTAATCTGCTTATCTATAAATAATAAATAAAATTTTCACGATGAATTTTCGCCACACCGATTAGAAATTTAGCTGTGACGAGAAAGATCGTTGACTGAGAGCTGTATAGCGGGCTGCAGCGGTATTTCGGCGGAGTTTTCAGAAGTATCTGATCCGGGCGTGAGCAGACGACGCGCGCCCGCCCACGTTGCACCTTCTTCTGCTTCCGACTCGCGTACTTCAATGGATGACGGCGACCCCACCGTCGACTCTACACTCGACACCGTCCTCTCCGCCACGTCGTCTGTCAAAATGGGCATTGACTTACCGACAGTCTCCTCGTCTGTGAGTAGTGGCATCGATATCGGTCCTGCGACCTCCGCTTCCTCGTTGGCAGTGAAATCCATCTCCGTGTTCGGCGAGGTTAGCAGTGACGTTGCATAGTTGGAATTGCTTAAGGGGTCGGTCGTTTTGGGAGCTATTCGTGGGTCCGTCACTGTGATCGGTAACTCTAAGGATGTCGGTACCGTTTGTGGGGTGACGCCGATCACAGCGAGGCCGTCTTCCAGATTTGAAGGCACCGTAGTCGGTTCGCTGACTGCTTTCGTGGGTACCTCGACTGGTGTCATAATGGGCTGATTTAAAGTTGTACTAGTTTCCGACACGCGGCAATGCACCGATACATTAGCGTTTAAATCTCTGAAATCGGGTGCCTCGTCTCGTGATGTGTCAGCGTGAAAAACGTCGCTGTTGGCCAGCGCCGCTTCTAGTATGTCTCTACGCTCAGGTTGAGGCGCAAATACCGGTGCTGGTTCTATAGTCATTGGAACAAGTTGATTATTTTCTAGAACCAGAGGTCTGTTATCGATGGGCGTCAGGGTTCCGTTATCTTCAACACACAGATAGAAAGAGCCTGGTGGTCCTCCAAAGTTCTCTCCGGGCACTGCCAGCAGTTGCCCGTCTGAAAGTTGCGCTTGAGGAGGTTCTGCAACTGGCTCGACCTGTGCCATCGCTGGTTCAGGTTGTGGAACTACAATGGTCGGCTCCGACTGTCGTGCAATTGCCGTAGAAGGCAGAAGTTCTTCAAAGTTATCTAGTTCGGTGTAGTTCTGGGTGGTCGAAACAGACACTGTGTTGGAAACTGCTGGTACATTGTTCGAGATCGATGCAGTTGCAGTCAGTGTAGTATTAGACAAAGATGTTAAAGGTGGCAATGGTACTGAAGGGGTAGGTGTTACGACTGGAGTGGGCGTTGGCAATAGTACTGGTGTGGGAATATGCGCCGGAGCAGGAGCTATAGCGATTTCTTGTTTCACTTTTTTTGCCGGCGATGGCGAAGCTGTAACAGACTTCCGTACTCTTTGTTTTTGAATCACAGGTTGGATAATAGGCTCCTTAGGAGATATAGTAATGGACTTTTGCATAATTTTGTTTTCTTGTACAGGTGCTGTAACTTTCTGCACAATCTGCCCTGTCCTTTGTAGATGCTCAAATTGGGCAGCTGTTAATTGCATCACTGCTCCTGATTTCTGTTGTAGGAATATTAAAGGTTCCGATGTTGTTTTCTGAATAGCTTGAACCAGCTTTTTAGGCTCAGATGCCACTATCCGTTTTGGTACCGGTTTGAGAGCTGGTCTTATTTCAGGCATTGGGGCGATATTTTGAGTCGCGGTTGCAACACGGCCACCAACAATTAATTGTCCTTTCGACGTAATTATGGCGCTCTTTTGTTGTTTAGGTACGATCTTGGTTTGTGCTTTCACATGTGTGGTAGATACAATAGTCTTAGGAGCTACTGGTGTGTTTGTAGATATTCTTTGAGTAATCGTTTTTAATTGTGATACATTAGGTTGTTGTTTATTCGGAAATAGAATTTTTTCATGTTCGGGAGTAAGAACTATCCGAGATTGAGCTCCTTGCGCATTAGTTATAATCATTACAGTGTTTCCAGGATTGGCGGTATCTGACGAAGATTGTATAAGTTTGGCAGACACCGGTTTATTTTCAGCTACACTAAGCGCTGGTTCTTGTCCCTTAGTTACAAGAACATGTGCTTTCCCAGTCTGTGGGTCTATTACAATTTTTTGAGTTCGGCCTGTCGTTCGAGGTGAACTAGTTGTTGGTAAAATTATAAATTTCTCAGTCTTAGCTGCGGTCTGAGGCACTTGTTGTATTAATGTAGCAGCTGGTTTGATTTCTTTAACAATCGGTTCGCTCTTCGTCATAATAATTTTTTGCTTACCAGTAGCTTTATCGATGACTAACATTGGTTTGGCGGCTCTCAATTTAGATGACTTTGAAAGGATGTTCGGAGTATTAGACTTCATATCGCTACTGGTATTCATTAGCAACGTTTTAACTTCAGGTTTGCTTGGGGGACTTATCGTAATCTTTTCGTTTTCAATTATAGAAGGCTTGGTTTTTATAAGTTTAGGCGGATTTGGCGGATTAGTTGTAATTAGATTTCCGTCTGACATCACGATTGGCATTTTTTCTATACTCTCTGGAGTTAAAATGTCATCAGATAACACAACAGGCATTGAATTTATGTCAAACATAGGTTCATTCACGGCAGAGGTATTATTTACCATAATTTTAGACTCGGTTGGTTGCACTACAAGTGATTCTTGGGGTTTTATTTTGTGTGGCTTTGTCGCGGTTTTAGTTATTTTCCGAATTTTGGGTTGTATTATAATTTGTTTAGGATCTGTTTGAACGTCAGGCGATGCTTGAATTGTAAATGTTTGTACTGACGAGCCATCTTGTGCTGCCATGTTACTGCGTGATAGAATAATTTTGTCCGGTGATGCAACTACTTCACTCAAATTATTAATATTCATCAAGTTTTTCGGAGGCCCAGTGCGTCGGATGATGATTTTCTGCTTTGTAGTCTGAGGTTTACCTTTCATTGACGATTTAGCAACGTCAAAATTCAAAATTTTTTCTTTGCCTGAAACTACCACTTGTTTGACAGGAGTGGTTTGTTTTATGGGTGCTGTTTTATTGACGGGAACTTTGACTGTAGGAGGTTCTTCCAAAATTTTTAACAATTTAGACGACGTAGTCTCGAATTTCGGACTTTTAATGGTTGATGGATCACTGCTGTTCTCAGTAGACAACAAAGCTACTTTCTGCTCAACGGTTTTATCCAAACCGTTATTTTGCTTGGTTTTAATAGTTGGACTGGGCAGATCCTTTTTCTTTATAACTTTAGTTTCTGCTATGTTAATTTTATGGTCCATAGACTCCGACATCTGCACTAACGATTGGGCAGCATTAAGGTTTTCACTTTTCTCTTGTTCAGTTTCGAACCGAATATTTAAGTTTTTATTATTTGGTATTAGTGGCGATTCGGTCTCAAGTTCAGCAGTATCAACAACTTTTGCTTCAAAAATATTACTATTGACAACATTGTCACTAGCAGGAACAATTTCTTCTACAATCTCTTCGTTTTCAACAAAGTTGGGTACATTAACAATGTCCTCATGTTCCGTGGCGTTATTTTGAATAGCAGATGAAGGCAAATTAATGAGCGTTTCTGCTATCTGAAGATCAGATTCAGATGGCAAATTATCTTTGACAATATCTGATACGACGTCAGTAACCACGTTTTCGTTAAGATTTGTGGCATCGTCTGTCAAGCCTTTCTGTATAATATTGACATGCAAGACTTCGTTATCTGTTGCAACATTGACTTCATTGGGTTGATCTATTTCCATTTTTTTGTTACCAACTTGATTGACACTCACTTCTTCAACAATATTGTCACCTATACAGTTGTCAGCTGGACCACTTTCTTTGTTATCATCTTCAAATAGGTCTTCAGGAAGGTCATTACTGACAATTCTCGGTACTCTGTCGGTTTCCCGCGAAACACTCAACAAAGCGTCTACTGCAGATGCAGTAGACTCATTCATGTAGGGCTGAATTAATGGTTGAAAAGACTTCAACAAATTTTGTTGTTTTTGAAAATTTGTTAATGGTGGTAGCTCTTTCAAAGAATCATTTGACTTTTGTGGAGATGTTTTAATGGCATCTTCCGTAAACGTAGGTGTATCCCTAGATTTCTTAGGACAGACAGAAAGTCTTGGTAATATTCCAGGGTTAGACGTAGATTGTTTTACAATATTTTCTACTTTACTTATGTTGTTTTCCACATCATCATCAACAACAAATTTTATTTTTGTCTCTTTTGTATTCCGGATTTTGAGATCAAATTGTCCTTTCTTGGGTGTTGATGTTATATTTTCCTCTATTACCATTGGTTCAATTTCGACCTGCTGGTCTTCAGGAGCTTTCTCAGGGCTGGCTTCAAGGAATTTCTCTGGCATAGTAGTACTATTTGACGGATAAATTGAATCTACTGTCCTATATTGACTTTCAATTGTATCCTTATTAGTATCAACATTCATCTTTTCTACGTTATCTAACACAGTGCAGTTTTGATCTTCGCCATTGTCCTCATTTTGAAGTAATTTATCGGGCAGTTCTTTGCTTATTGGTTTAATTTCTTGAGTAGGATACAGTACATCAAGCAAAGGTTTAGAATGAATAATTTGCGAATTGTCTACAATGTTTTCATTTGTTGATTTAGAGACATCAATAGTAAACTGCTCTGCTTCTATTTTCTCTTTCTGTGCTGCTTCAGCTTTCATTTTCTTAAGTTGTATTTTGGGAGCTAAACGAGCCACTTTCACGGGTTCCACTGGTGGCGATTCCCTGGCTTCAGGCGACGACACAGCTTCGGAACCATTTAATTCAGTCTCCGACAAATCCATTCTTTCAGCAGCGTTCAGCTGCTCTGCCACGTATTTTCCTATAGCATCTTGGCTTCTAGAATGTCGGCTCCGAAAAAATGTTTTTGTTTTAAATATAGTTTTCGTAGGCTTTGTCGTAGTAACAGTATTATCTGGTTGACTAGACTCAGCCGAAGCAGCGTCAGGCTTTTTATCAGGGGATTTTACGATCGAAGGCTCAGGAAAATTTTCCTCGACTTTCAGGGGTTCTGGTACACTTGGTAATTCTGGAACAGTTGTCTTATTAAGTAATTCAGCAACCTCTTTCGCCACATCTATGTCGTCTTCTACGCTAAGGCTCTTCGTTTCTTCTTTTCGTTTAGATGGATTTTTAACTCGCGGTATTTTCCTACCGGCATCAGCCTCCTCAGGCCAATCTTCATCTTCACAAAATTCGTATTTAGAGTCGCTAGAAGACTCAGGTTTGTCAGTAGATTCAGTTTCAAACTTTTTCTCAACAGGTGATGTTAAATCCCTAGGCAATTCTGCAGGAATAGGAGCCGCGGGAGATTCGGCACCCACAGGAATTTCGGGAGATCGAGACAACAATAATCCTGGGGATTCATCATTTGAATCTTCGTCAGCATCGTCCCAGTCAGCTAAAAGACTGCTTTTGATTTCTTCATCTGTCTTAGGTTTTTTGACGTTCTTAGTTTCAACTTTGTCATCTGTCGTGCGTTTTTTACCCTGCGACTTTTTAGGGTATTTATCTGATTTGTCTTTTCGCGGTCGTGGGATTTTAGGTGTTTTAGACAACTTAGGTGGAGACTTAACAGGCTTCGCAACAGGTTTTTTGCGTACCGGGGATGGTGTGTATGGCATATAAGTTACACTATGTGTTTTATTATGCATAATTAAAACGTTTAGGCGTGTGGTACTAAAATTACAAGATGGGCATGAATAACAACCTGAACTAGATGCCACAGGAGTTGAGGGCATAGAAGATTTAGTTGGTGTCACAGGCACAGAAGTTTCTACCTTTGGCGATTCTTCCTTCTCTTCAGCAACTTCGGAGCCAGCACGACTTGTGGAAGGTGTAGAACTGTCTGCAGGTTGACTAGTGGCTTCTTTATCTTTTGACCCTTGCAGTAAGATGTGAACTTTGTAATCACACTTTTCTTTATAAAGCTGAAAAAAAAGAGACAATTGAATTTAGAAAATAAAGTAAATTAACTGTAATTATTTTATGTTAAATGAATCAGTGTTTATTTCATAAAATATTACCTGTTTTGATGGTGTGGAAGCTTTTGGAGATTCTATAGGTTGTCTTAATCTTGTGCCCTTACCTGAAGTATGAAAAATTGACTATTTAATTTATAGTAAAAAAACATTATATATTCAGTATTTTTAAATATAATTCTAATTCTAACAACATATCTACAACAACACACACTAGAAAACTTAAAATGAAAATTTAAATATATTGACATGCACAGTTTGTCTATGTATGCACAAACAGGTTTAATTTTACATCAGCTCATGAGCTTATTTTGCTAGCTTGAATATGGTCATGACTATACTTAAAATAACAAACAACTAGCTAAAATATAAATACACTAAATATAAAATATAAATATAAATATAAATTCACATAAAAACCTTGGTTCCCCATGCAAAATGTAAATTCGTTTTAATTTACGAACTTTTATTGTATCACAATTATATAAATTTATAAATCAAGGAATGCCAAAATTTTGTACCAAAGCGAGAGAAATATAAAAAGATGTTAGATATTTCTTTAAGGAAAAAGTATAGTTCACACTTTTTGTTACATCTAGTATAGCAATTCTACCATAGTTAAGACAAAGTATGCAGGTAAAACATTGTGTTATTTATAATGAACCCAGAGTCAGTCATAGCACATACAATTTACTGAAAAACACAAATAAATATGACCTTTTTTACCAGAAACAGTAGTCTTTTTTGCAGGATCAATAAAGATTTCTTTGTAACTTTCTTTCTTCACTTCCTGGAACTCATCACGAGTGAGAATCTCTATGTCTCCTCCAACTGCTGTTTCAGCACGTATAACATCTTCAGGAAACTTCTCCATATTATGGCCGGGCTTAGATCGGTACATATCTGGTGTTGGAAAAGGAAATAGTATAATTATTATAAGAAATTATAAATTTCATAATTACAAACATTTGAACCTAGTTTACAATTACAATGAAATTGAGTTTATGTAGCATTGAAGGAATACAAAATTAAAAACAACATGTTCAAACATTGTCACAAGTAGTACTATGGCTAATAACTTAGGTATATGAATTATGCTTCTATACTACTTCACCATGATTTAACAAAACCTTAAATTGGTATCATAAAAAAAGAATCCATTTTCAATACCAGTTTTAATGTTTTGGAATTGCATAACTTTGAATTCGTGTTATTTTTTTGCCTATTATTCACCAAAACAAAGAGATCTCTGATAATAAAAACCTATAGGTTAACACATTTCCTGTATTCTCTACTTTGGTGCATATTTAAAATTGCAAGTTTACTCAATGGGAAGTGGTAACCAACATTCATACACATTTGTGCAGTACCAAGAAAGTGTCATTAATATTGCAAATGTGAATGCATTACTGCTGTTGGGACATAAGGGCTTAATTCTTCTGTGCCTGTAGTCATGCTCTCTCCAGCGATTAATCAGAACAGAAATGCTGCTTACGCCGCAACTTACCTATTTAGGTAGGGCAATGCAACCTACCAAAGCAGGTTCTTCACAGATAGAGAACCTTCCCCTATCTAGCAGGGTTTTGGCTCGTACATACATAGACTTCTTGGTATTTTTTTAACATCAAGTGACAATACGAACACATTGTGCACCTGATGGTAAGCTACATAACAGTTGCAGTGCCACTCAGTTTTAAATCGCAAACGTCTAAGGGGCACTGCCGCTGCACCTTTAACCCTGAGACACAAATTGACAAGCCCAATTGTGCTTGTAATTTCACCAGCACCCTTCAAAACCGGAATGCAGTAATGCTCAAATTACTGCTTGGCAGAAAGAGGTAAATCTGGTCCCACATCTCTCATTTCATCAACACATATTGATGCTTTTTAGAAGGTCATTGGCAAAAGGTACTCTTTTAATCCGCTTTCATTTCATTCTTTCATTTTGATATGTGGTATTTTTTAATTAATTTTACTTACATAGTCCTTTGTTAATAAACTCATTTTTGCGGCTGCAATTGTACTTGTATATGTAGTTGATATTCTTGACATATTCACTGAAATTGAATAAATTGAATTGTTAGAATCATTCAGGTAAAATAATGAACAGTGATAAAGCAAAAACTTACAAAACAGTTTTGTTTTAATAACTCCAGTGTGGCTTTTTTAATCAATCAAACAAGACTTTACTTTACAGTCCCATTATACACAAAAACAGTACCGTAAGCTTAATACAACATCCTAAAGTCCATCAGATGAATAGGGAAAAACTTACACAAGTGGACTGTGTTGTAAACCCCCGGTAGATATGTCTTCGGGTTCAAAGTAACATCCATAAATTGGGCTTCTAACAATAGTCTAAATTACCAAACTTGACTTTCTAAACAGTAACAAAAATTTACAATGAAAGACATGATTTCAGAAAAAGTGGTAAAATGAGATCTCTTAAATGCAAGCTTGAAGGTTCCACACAGTCAGAAAAACAATTCAGTAAAATTATGTAAATAAAATGCACTACAGTATAAGAACAAAGGAAGGGACAGCATCGGAGCTTTACCTGTAGCTTCCGCTTGATTAATTATGTAAACTGTACAGGTTACATTGGTAAACTTACTAGGTGTCCTCTTGGTAAAACTTGACGACCGCGATAGGGGGCTTCCGAAATGATGGTAAGACATCTGGGGGCAGCCTCTCCGGCCCCACCACCTCGCCGGGCCACCAACACGACCCAAGTTTCACCCATACCACGTCCCCGTCCAAATAATTAATTTCGGTTTGTTCACACATCACCACTTATCTCTTCAGGCGAAACGCACGACCATATTTTTGTTCTATATCCACTATACGTCAAGTGTCCATTAGCATAACACTTCCACTATATTTAAGGGCATGCCAAAGTATTCCACAGGTCGGCCGAGTAGTAAATCTAGTGAAAAATGCAGTAAAAGACTAGGTCTTTTATTATTTGTCAAAACAGTAGCAAAATATTAGTAGTAAATATAATTTACCGACTGCGTACGAAATTATTCCTTGGCCTTTGGGTTGGTAGCTCTGGTTAGCTACCAAAATATTTAAAGTAAATTTTTAATTAGTTTAATTGTATTTCATAAAACATTATTCCTTTTAATTTATCAAAATTAATTTAAAAATCGCCTAATTTATTATGGTCAAACAAATAAGTATCACTGTTGACGGACCGGACGTATGGAGTAGGGACAGCGTCAGCACGTACCAATATAACAAAATAAACTAAAATGTTGCAATATTTCAAATAATTGACTACTAAAATCGATACGGAAATCGATTTGATTAGTTTGTTCAAGAAATATATTTAATATTTCTTTATGATCTGTCTGCCTGTGCCTGGGGGCTTATTCTCGATCTCTGTCTGACATCCGTCCGAAACAATTACTGTCAAATAAGCAATACTTGACCAAATGAAAAGACGCGTGATGCGAATGAAGCTCATACTCATTGACTTACAAATAAATGGACGACGGGTCTAATACAAAAACCACAAAAAAAATGTGCCAAGCCAACCTATTCGAAATTTAAATAGTAATGTCATCGCAGTATCGCGCTGTCAGTCGAACAAATGAAGACTAAAGCGGTGTTTGGCGCTCTGTATACGATTTTAGCGCCTTACAAGTGCGGACACTTTTTAGCGCGGACCCGACGTCCATATAATTGTAAGTCAATGTTCATACTGGATACTTGTCTTTTAATTTTGACCTGACCCTGAGTAATTAATAAATATATCAATATTTCCTCATTTATGATTTTATTAACTCCACCTTTTGAGAACTCTTGACTTGAAGAGAATATCCAGACTCACAAATTAAGAATTATATTCTCACTCTACAACAAATACAATTTAACTCAAAATCTGGCAATTTGCCTTAAATATACGTCACAGCTTTGTCTGTAAATTAAATCATTGAAGAATAATTAAAATCTAAGTTCTGGCAGTATGGTTTAATCGGCGCATTCACTACCTGCATGGTAGTCCGCCGCGCAGCCAGGAGCCTGCTCACACACTATCTTGCGCATGACCCACGTATGGAGTCTCGCATGACTCATTGCAGGATGGCTTGCACGCTGCGATTACCTTCATAATCCTGCGTTACGCGGTGGACGGCAAAGGCGGACTGCAATGCAGGATAATTAATGCCCCCTTTTATTATACGCCTTAGCCTATTCCAAATGACGAAACATTATAAACTACTTGTCTATTCGATGAAGAGTCAATGTCAAAAACAGTTAGCCAAAAGCCCAAAAATAAAATCTTAGGACTTTTTGTAACTCTTCAAAAATAAAGCCTCTGCTTCCGTATTTATTTTAGAATAAAAAAATTATGACATTTTTGTCTGCCGTTTCGACTTGTGCGTTTGTTATTAACGGGAAACGTAATTACAAAAAATTATTTGAAAGTCAAAGATCATCGGAACCGGATGTGAAATTAATGTTAAATGAAAATATATAGCATAGAATAAAAGTATAATTTATTTATTAGGTATTTCTAACTAGGGTGGTTTATATTCCCTGGCTTTAAAAAGGAAATGAACAGCAATGTCATTACAATGTTATTTAATTATTACTTACTGGGCACTTAAAATCACAAATTCACATAGAAAAATTAAGAGCACGAATCATGCCGACAAAATAATTGCATGTATCATATTGGGACGCACTTTAGGTAGGTATATGCGCCGTATGGGTACTTTACTGTACTTTACAGCATCCCCAGATGGCGGCACTAAGCGCGAAGCCAAAAGATGGGAGGTTTCTCCGCATTTTATCCTACTACTATAAGCTGCTTAGATGTTTCATCTATGGCGTCGTTATTGACCCTATTATGTTATGTATCTCTATTCTTCGGAGGACCACCTCGAGAGTGATAAGGCTGAATCGGTACTAAAACAACACATCTAGCTGAGGTTTCCGCAGATCATTTACGAGAACGAAATAAGTCTTATGTCGTAGAACAAATTCCACACTCATCTTTAAAGCTTTCATCACAGGTTAGACAAGTGGACATGTATTTTAGAGCGTTAAGCTACAGTGTTGCCAGACTTTTGCGAAGTTAATTCGCCAAATTATGTGCGCCTTGTAGCCCATATTCGCCCACGCCAGAATTGCCAATGTTAATTATTTAAAATCCCTAAAAATCAAGAAAAGCAAAGTTCCTATTCCCCAATTCTCCACTTGTAGAAATACTTATACCACAAACGAGTTTGTTATATTTATTAATACAAACTAGTGGAATGATTTCACAAAAAATAATTGAATATCAATTCAATAAAAATTTAAAACACAAACGAGTTGTTTGAAATCGTTCCTATTTTCCATATACAACTCCATTCGCCACACAATTCCCCATCAAATTTATAATTCCCCACAAATTTTATTAAGTAGCCTAAAATCGCCTTTTCCTACTTAAAAATGGCCTACATATCGCCGAATCGCCAATCGCTTTTTTTGTCGCCACAGAACTCCTCGAAATAGCCTAAAGGGCGAAAAATCACCAAATCTGGCACCACTGTTAAGCTACTACTACTAATTAAGGCCACTTGATTAAGCATATATTAGGTAACTTCAACGTAATAAAATAAACCAGTGTGTCTGCTCATCAGCATCATTCATCACCCGACAGACGGACATCGGTACATGGGCAAATTTTTTGATTGCCTAGACAACGAGCGATCCTTTCGGTTGTCGAATAATTTCGTTCAACAAGCAGTAACAACGACTGACACAACTGGGGTATTGTGTTCATCGCCATCTTAGCCTTGAAGCTATGCACTTAGGGCATAATTCCCGACATCACCGAATGACGAGTCATTTGCTGTAGTCAGTCTAAATAACCACAAAAATATAAATTAACTTTTTGCTTATAATTATTTCATGACTCATGTTATTTTCGTAATTTTATTTTAGCTAGCAGACTGGCTAGCACAGACACTTCCTATAATGCCCATTCTTGTAACAGGGAGTCAATAAAGAAGCTTTGTTGTATTGTAAATAGTTCATTAAACTACCAACAAAAATTGTTGATATCAGCAAAATTTAAAGTTCTATAACTTTAAATGCATTTTCCGTCCAATACGTTTCAAATTAACCATTACCATTAAATTCCCCTATGGTATGTTTTTAAGCATTTTTTTCCAAATTATACTGGATGTGAAGTAGCATGTTCCTTTGGAGCAAATTAGTTAGTAGCAGTAGAGTTGAAAGAGTTCGTTCAGGGTAGTACTGCCACCTTACCTATTTCTGCCGCTAAGCAGTAATGTCACCATTATTGTGTTCCGGTTTTGAAGGGTAAGGGTGCTGGTGAAATTACAGGCACATGAAACTTGTCAACTTACGTCTCAGCGGGCGCAGTGGCAGTGCCCCTCAAATCTTTGCAACTTAAAGCTTTGAGTGGCACTGCAACTGTTAAGGACAGGCGTGTAGCCTTCCATCAGGCGCACGACTTGTTCGTCCCGTCACTTGACATTATAAAAAAAAATTGCCTAACCACGTGAATAACTAATACTCTCATATTTTGCAACTGAGGCTGAGTGGGATAATTCTGAGTACCTATAACGTTTATTATGAACGCTAAAGCAATATTAGTATAGATATTCCTCGAACTACGTTCTGCAATATCACGATAACTTTCAACAATTCGTATATAGTCTATTTCATATTTTCTGACAATGTCAACGGGATGTTTAAACGCATTTCTATCCATATCGCACTGACCTCATGGAAAAATATTTCTATATTTGGGCCCTCAGTGGGTATAGGTACGGGAGGGTATAGGTAGGAAGGTACTGTGCCTTGAGCCCTTCGCACATGTCAAAAAGAAGAATATCTATAAATATTTAGTCACTTACCGAATTAAAGATTATATGTATATAATAAACGGCAAATCAATTAAGGATTATATATAAAATATAAGCAACGAAAAATCAGAAACATTAAAAATTGCTGAGCATTTTTCGAAGGTTTCGGATTCTTCTGGTACTCTTTAACACATCACGACTCCTGGGAGAAAAATTAACTAAATGACTTTGTCAGTTGTAATCGCGTTATATATGATATAATAATACATACAACGTTCGCAAGATCCCAAAAAACTATATGTAAAAATTGCTAAACAGGAAAAGAAGTGACCGCCAATATTTAATTTTATATAAATAACAAAATTACATTTTTATCTAAGTCAACGTAGCTTCATGCTATGGTTATTTAAGCATAAGTCAAGAGTTTCTAACTGCAATAGCACTTTAAACTCAAACCACTGTACTGGGTCATCATCAGCTTCATAACATTATAAGTTTGCAACTGCAACAGTGATCGTCATCCGCCGAGTTGAAAATCCTGTGAGTACCTATGTAGTACCTTAGCAATCACAGCTCAACAGTTAAAATAGAGCACAAAACAAATAAGGCAACCGATTCGTTGTCTATTTTTTATTTAAAGTTATTAAAATATAATTATTAAATAATTTAGCTGGATTTATTCCAATTATCATTGGTAACTAAGTAAATATATAAGTACAATCAATATTGTAATTTTCACACATTTAATTTAAATTATTTATATACATGACACATTGTACATTTATAGAAATATTATGTATACAAACAACATAAAAATACAATTTGATAAGATAAATTAATGCTTATGCTTATAATGTTTTAGTTACATATATTTTATAAAAATTGCAAAGACGTTATTTTAACAAACATATAAAATATTTTTACAAGTGTCATTTTGTGTTCTTTTTCTTATTATTAATAAGTAGAAATCGGATTGACACAGCATATTTATATGAAATTCCGGTATTATTGTATAGTATTGCGTTAAATAAGTGAAAGTAAGTAGCAATAACTGTATTATGATACTTATAATAAGTCTTATAAGGGGTTATTCATTATCCTGCATTGCAGTCCGCCTTGCCGTCCACCGCGTAATACAGGATTATAAATGTAGTCGCGGCGAGCAGGCCAGGAAGTAATTCTGCAATGTGTCCTGTGAGACTCCGTACGTGGGCCATACATAGGACAGTGTGTAAGCAGGCTCCTGCCTGCGCGGCATACTGCCATACAGGTAGTAAATGGGCCGTTTCAGTCTCGCTGCATTTCTGCGTCCCGGAAAAAATATCAAGACTCGAAGCGGTTTCGAAAATCTATTCGAGACTACTTCAACAATAGGTTTCTATTTTATACACACTAGTCAAAACAGAATATTTTAACTAAATTCTTTATTAACTCGAATTATAAAATCAAAAATTATGAGACTTTATTATTCCTATCATTCTCTTTCAATCTTTATTATCTTATAGTGTTGCCATGTCCGTTGTTTAGTAGATTTTTAGTACCGCACGTTTAATTAAAATTTAAGGCTCAAATGTCTCGATATTCCCGAGACTGAAAATATCAGTCTCAAGTCTCGAAAAGGAAAAAAAAGTGAAAAACGGAGGGTTTTTGTAGTTACAGTTTTTTTACAAATTAATTTCTAGTTTAAGTTTTGAGTTTCTTAATTGTTTGTTGCTTGTTTAAGCTAATGGCTCTATAGCCAATGCTCAACATATAACTAAATCATAATAAATAACCGAGATTCCCGGGATGTAAGCATATAGTACAGCATCACTAATACATTTTGATTTTATGCCTTTTATTTTTAATCATTCCGGGATTTCAAAGAATTATTCATTACGTGTGTACCTTTTGAAGTTTAGATAAATATACTCTGCCTATGGTAGTCCCTGGTAATAATGGTAAGTTGCACAATAAGTACATAGTGAAGTAGTGGTATAACAATATGGCTTAGTTTTTGGCTCGGTAGAGATTGGCCATCGTCATTTTTTTTTCAAAGTCGGATGGCACAAAGGTAGAGCGACGACTGACGACGGCCTTTAGGCATTAGACCCAGAATATTAAGGCCCGTTCACACAGTCGACTTTCATTGCAAGTAAAACGGTAGCGGCACGTCTGTAGAGTTTCAGTAATTTATAATTTACTAATTGAGACTGCAAAACTGGCGCGCCCATGTAACAACAGTGGCGCTGCAGTTGCGCTTATATGTATGAAAATTTGCAGAGGCGCGGCTACAGCGCCATTGCATCGTTTCTATGAGCGTCTAATTTGAAGACACCCATAGTGCGATACGGTTGCTACACAAAACCGAAAGCGCAGCGAACATTTGCTAAGCGGTGGAATTCATTCGTTTGGAAAGATTTTAACATTGAAAGTCTTCTAGTTGGCGATGAATTTTTAGTTATTGGAGATTGAAACCTAACCGTTATGTCAAACCAGTCTATTTTTATGTCACTGTTATATTAAAAGAAGTCTAACTTTATCCGGCGTATTGACGGACGATTTTTGCCCATTGTTGTGGATAGTTCCTTTGCACGTAAGAGAGTGTGCGTTGGATTTGCTTCGTCTCTTGCGGAGAACACTGTGGACAGGAACCTCGGAGTACTAGAGGAGCTAGAGCTGTCGAGAGAAGTACATTAAATTAAACTAAATTAAGCAAAATACAACAAAAGCATAACAAATTACATTTTGAACTCAAACATGTAAATGGCAATAATAAACGGCATTTGATGGGCATTTGGCAATTTATTTTACAATTTGAAAATGTTAATATACTCCCGGACACATAATTCGAGCCACCTCACATTTTTGTCGTAAAAAGGGCTAGAATACAAAAATAGTGTTATCATCGAAGAAAAAAGTTTCCCCGGTTTTGCAAATCCAAATTCCCTACAAGGACTTATGGAAAAGACGTTTAGTATACTAGTTTCAAATTGCATAATAGTTTTTGATCAATCAAACATTGTTTAAGCTTAGGGCACTTAATACCGAAAATGCGTGGTGGCTCGAATTATGTGTCCGGAAGTTATTTATTGCTGGTGCTAAAAAGTAGTACTATATTATCAAATGTCTCCGTTTTTACGACAGATATGATGTAATGTACCAGATAATGATAATGTGCTAAACAACCACACCGATTGCCTGATATGATGATAACTTTAAATCGTGAAACACACTGAAAGCGGGTGCGGGACGGGCGCATGTCGGGTCCCGCGCCCGCACGTGGTTTGTTGTCTTTCATATAAATGCACGGAATTACACCCGCCGTACTCCCGACCCGACACGCGCCCAACCCGCACCCGTTCTCTGTGTGCTTTACACTTAATACGAGGAGTATCCCCAATGCCATAGGCATGCCAGCACTCTGAAGCATCATACCAACTCGCGAGTGCCAGCATGCCACGCTTCGAACAATTTCCTCCCTTACACGTACGTATCACTTACTTTTAAGCCGTTTGCCAATGGGATCACAAGGGGCTTCGCCCAACGCGCACTTCAACTGCCTCTGAATGAACCTCTTGTCATTTAAAGCATCTTCTAAAGCTGTGTCAGATACTGGTGGTCTTTGTGTCTGTGCCAAACAGGCTACCGCCATTGTGCATAGGACTAAGATGTGTGTGACCTGTAATTAACAAAAAATATTTCGTAAATTATTTTCATATAACGGTTTATATACGGTTCTTACTTATATGGGGTACTACGGGAACTTAATCGCACGTTCAAAACGATACCACAGATTAATTCGATACGTCTCTAAACACATGTCTCACTTTTTCAAATTTAAACTTATTTTCCAAAACTTTTCTTCTTCGTTTAGTGACAGTATTGACGTGGTATTGATGTCAACGTGCGGTACTTACACAATGGTATAGTCAAGAATACATCAAACGGGACCCTTTGAACTTTTTATCGCAAATGTTATAAAGTTGAATTTACATCTTACATATCAAACTTGACGTGCGTGCTCTTGACAATTGTACAGCTAGCATCACTGTCGATTGCGTTCCGACTGCGTTTCGACTGCTAGTTTGCAGTTAGAATGTAGCTCGTGTGATTGCTTACAGTCGAAGTAGGTAAATGATAGGCAGTTTCTGGACTTAGACGTTCTGGGTAGCTTAGAAGTTAAAAAATCCCATCAGTACCTATTTAGGAAACGATTATCTTGGTTTTGGATTAGATATCACGGTGTTCTTGATTAGAGTAACTAGTGTGACCTTCTAATATGTTTAAATTGCTAAATTTATGTTTTATTCTTACTTTTATGCAAATGCTAGATTGTCAATAGGCGGTCAAATTAACTATGACATACGAAATTTACGAGATATATAGTCGTCAATATTTGTTGAACATAGTATGCGGTGCGTATTATTTGCCAAATGAAACTAATAGATAATGAGTAGGTTTTTAATATTAAGTAGTTGCAAAGACTATCGAATGTAAAGTTTCACTATGTTTTGATTTAAAATTTCATGCTTTTAGAATGTACAAAGTTGTTTTTAAGTGGATTACCTTGGCGGATATTTCAAGTTACTCCTCCTACTCTGTACCCTACCCTACATTAAGAGCCTTGTGTTTATAATTAAAGGACTTAATTGGTATCACTTGAGGTTGTTGGCTTCTCGTTGACTGTGAAGTTTAGACAATTTACAATCAATTAAAATTCATTCAGTAAAGGTACTTCATCACTGCGTTCTTAGGTCGTCTCTGCATCACATCTACACACTACGTCATTGGATTGTGTGCTCATAACTAAAGAGGTAAACCAGTACTTATTTGTGAATGTTTGCAAAACCACGTGTTACTTAATGAACTACATATGTTTACACACGGTCTAAGTATCTTATTGAAGTTTTAAATATACCTCGTTTACGTAGGGTCGTTTTCATTTAGTTGTAATATCGAAAAGTATGTATATACATTTATGTACTTTAGTATATTGGAATTCATTTACACTAGGTACCTCAAAGAAAACATACATGTAAATACTACTTTGGACTATTTATTCAACGTTACTCGAAATTTAAATAATTGCTAGTAAGTATATAATAAAAAGGGGAGAGAAAAACCCGCGAAACTTGCGCTTGCGCCGCGAGGACAAAGGACATTCGTGAGTTGTGTGCGGTCACGGGTAAGTATAGTCGTAAGCAAAAGTTATTGTAAAGACAACACTTTTTCTATACTCGAAGTAATAATTTTGTTATTTGTAGTGATTAAATAAATTGTTTATTATAAAAAAGTTTGTAAAAACTAAAAAATACTACACCTACTGGAATTGTGATAACTTTTCGTCTGTTGGGACCCAATTATTACAGTTTCACGTCGTACTTACCGTCTCATATACTTTCGACATTTCTAATTAAAATCTTATTTCAAACTATCAAAGTAATCGCTCGAATTCAAATATGCAGCATGGATAAAGGATGACTTCTTTTAAGTTTATAGTGACAATCATCACGATGTTTTACCTACTACTATGATAGTCAATTATTTTTTTGTGAAATTACTCCACAAGGTTGTTATAATTATTAATAACTAATATCGAACACATAGACAAATTCATTCAGCCGAGTTCGATCTTTGTTATTAATAATAACAACAAGGGTAACTTGTGTTATCTGCGGAGAAGTGGCAAAAAAAAATTTCATCATTTTGTAGTTTGTTATTGATAACCATTTCAGATTATGAGTACAACTTTTTGGGATACCTACTTTTATTTAGTATAATAAGTGACGAATACACACCCATATTCCAAACTAGCAGATGGTCCCATTAAGTGCAGTAATGCTAATATAATAAATAATTAAACTTAATTGTGTATATAATTGAACTTTGTCATATGAAAAATCTCCAGTGATAATAGTGGCCAGAAGATTTTCATCGATTGTACCAAGTCCATATAAATAATACGGACAGAGCAAGACACCATCGCTCTGTACGTGCTCGGAAACTTAATAGGTTGAGTAATCAGTGCGCCTAACACACCAACACATGCGTCTGATTATTTTGCTAATAACTCTTTTGATACTTCAAAAATTATAAATTATAATTCCTATTATCACGCTTCGTACGCAGGAATTTCCGATTTATGAGAATGAATTCTGTTTCTAAATTGATTGAAGATAAATTACTCGTAATAATAATAAGATGTTGTACATTTATAAATAATTACCTATATTTGTGTTATATCTGTCACCAATTATAAAAGAAGGTTAGGCTAGTAATGCGAAGGAACCAAAGTAAGTTTGTGCCTTTTTTATTAAAAAATTTACAAAAATAATAATACTAATTTAAATATGGCGGGGCAACCAAAAACATGAGTATGTTAATCTGTCTCTGCCTATCCTAGGTATTGGAATACACTCATGAAGGAAAGTTAAAGTAGAAAAGAACTTTGTAATAAAAAGTAGAACCTGTACATTTAACGATGTCAATGTATTTCGTGCGACTCCGTAACTTATGCAGCGAAATTTTTAAACGTGTTTCTTAGAGAGAAACGTTCTTGTTCTACTCATTTTAATTTTCAATCGATTAACATCTAGACCTTCATCTTTTCTATTCCACACTTTTCATAACAAATATTCTTAAGTTACTTTTATGCATTTGACTGTAGAAAATAACTCTACATAGCAATGAAATACAATATTATTCCTAGTAATTTGCAAATAATTTTCTTGTAAAATAGTATCGATTAATTTTTATTGAATTTATATTCAATTATTTTTTGTAAAATTACTCCACTAGTTTGTTATAATTATTAATACAAAGATCGAGTAGAGGTTAAAAAGTCGTTGAAAAACAAATACAAAAATCCGACAACAAGCACATAGAAGAATTCGTGAAGTGGCTTAGTTGGCATAGTGTCTGGCACGGTTTGCTAGGAGACGTCGGTTCGAATCCGGCCGGATCGAAGCAATTTTTTCTAAGTATTCGATCTTTGTATTAATAATTATAACAAAATAGTATCGATTTTAGACATAGCTACTCATTAACTAGGTAATATGTATACCTGCACACCTAGTTGGTACATTTAAATACACTTTTTGTGACACGGTTACTAATAAGTGCATAGTTACGTTTAAGTTAGAAACCCAATTTTATCTTGCACAATAAAGAAAACGCTCGCCTGACACAGCCTTGCATTCAACTGTCGCAAAAACTTAGACACGTGTTTATGAAACCTTTGACTGTTTGTAGGATCATTGCAGTGTATAGGAAAATGTATAAAATATTACTTTTGGAAAAATAATTTGCGATTTACTGAGAAACTGATAAGTTTATTTAGAGAAAAAGGGAATCACTTCAAGTGTAGTTTTGTTTATTCAACAATAACGTGTTATTAGTTGTTAGATAAACACTTTAATTGTCACTTTATATAAATTGTTAAGAAATAAACACATAGGAAGATAACTTACTTACTTACTACTAAAAAAAATAACTTACTTGGTAGGTGTAATAATAGATGATATGCATTTTACAGCGACGCTCAATGGAACCGCTTATTTCATCTCCATAAAGTTGTTTAAAATATTAATTATTTATTTTTACCTGTTGTAATCATAGAGAGCGAGCGGTGAGCAGCGATCTGATATATACATATATAATAATATATCATCGTAAGATAGCGTGAAATGTGTTATATTCATCTCATAGCTGCAATCTCCCATAAGATTAAAAATAATAAATTGTGCAGATAAAACTTATACAAAAGCTCAAATCACCTAAATAACTTCCAGTATTTGTATGTCCTAATGCTTCTAATTTAAACATATTGATTCAACAGTTTTACATATTGCTTTTGCAAATTTATATAAATAAATTAAATTACTTTGATCTAAACGATCAACAAACACAAGGATGCCAAGATGACAAGGCTATCGAAAAACGAAGGTTTTTCATAATTATAATAATTTAGTTAGGAATGACTTATAGGAACGGTGGGCCACAGGTATGTACAGCCCTATCATAGTATTTTTATGGAAAATTGAGATGAACAGCGTAGTATCTATACTCAGGTATAGATAGTTAAACTAAACTTATTATAAACATATTTTTCAACAAATGACGATTAAAATAATCTGATAATAAAGTGGTGTTATGGTGGTGCATTACAATACTGCAAAGTCAGAAAACTTGAAAGAAAACCATGTATAATTCAACATCTTTATAATTAACAGATTAACTACCTAATTGCATGACTGTAGGTATAATAATTTATCGAAAGTACCAGTAACCTAAAAATATTATTGTTAACTTATAAATCACCTACAATTACATAAAATTTTAGATGAAATACTTGATTACCTAGCGGTATTTTTATCGTAACATATTTTGCAGATAACTTGTGGTTTATGTCTAACCTTCAGTGTTAATTGGTCCTTTTTGTATGTACAAGACCTATGGCGTGCAGTGGCCATGTAACACATTCAAGACGAAACGACCGGTACCGGTACCAGAAAACTATAGACACGTAATAATTTTACATTGTGATTGTTTGCTAGGACAATAAACTTGTTATTGTAACCTATTATTAATTTGACTTTGAAATTATGGCAACCTGGGTCAAAAATAGGACGGATATTAAGTTTAAACATGTCATAAAAATGCATTTCTCCGTAGAGCGTAGTCCGTAGAGCACATTTCATAGTTCGTTTAAACTATGATATCTTTAAAAAATATAGACATTTTAATGTAACATTGCACAAACATTTACACTGATGGCTCATGTGCTTATGTCGCCTAAGTCTCAATTTACATTGCGACGAAATGGAACGGACGCGAACTTTTGTAACGATGTTATACATTACATAGTGAACTTTCTGGCCAATTATTGTGTAACATTCAAACTAGATACGAGCCAAAATCTTTCACGGAAAACCATAAAATTCATTGTGCAATTTATAATATCCATACAAAAATTAGCTTCCATTCCGTTCCGCCGCAATATAAATTGAGCCTTAGACAGCGTACATAAATTCTATTAATAATAGGTAAAATCCGCTTAGGATAAATGTTAAATAATTTATGTGCGTATGCTTATTTTCGTACTCATAAAGCGATACGTGATCATTACGTCAAGTGTTTTGTCAAATGAAAGTTATAAAAATAATACATGTAAAAATTATATACCTATGTGAAATTTTATAACTCTCCTAGTTAAGCATAAAAAGTTATCGACTAATTAAGTTCGTAAAATCTTTATACATCTCTCCTGACAAGTTCTAATTTTGCTGATGTGGCCCTATTACACCAAGGTTGCCATCTTGGATACGATCCGGACAATAACTGGGCTACAGAGGATCTTGAACGCCACCGATAGGACATGATGTCCATAAACAGAGAACTATGTTTAAATTTCGATTCGCATTGCCTGGTAATGATGATGACCAATTACGTTATGCACAGTTTTTTTTTACCATTTCGAAATTAGAATAGTAGAACCGTCAAGTGGAACGTGTCGACATTTTGGAAAAATATGAAGTCCTTACCTCAAATTGCTTTTACATAAAAGTACCTACATATATTGTTACTAATGCTAGTCAACCATCAACAGCGGGCTAATTAGTTGCCAATTAGACAGTTTTGTACAATTTAGTATTGCTAACTAGGTATTATAATCTTATCTTAGCATTAGGTAATTTTGGTGGCGTTCATTTACGTTACGTGCTACTCGTAGACGCCTTTCCGGTCAGTTACGTAAAGAAATGTGTATGGACCGAAAGAAAATAACAACGGAACTAAACCGGGACAAAACTGTAATGCGGATTTAAGTGGAACACAACTGTTATTTCGTTTTACTAAATCACTGAAAACTTGAAGATTGTGGATTAGGAGGCATATTTATGTAGTTTTTTTTTTACAAAAAAAAAGGAAATTACGAATCAATTATAAATTACTTAATTATTTAGAGAGGTTAATGTAAGTGCTGTATGCACTATTGTTAAGTTACTGTTATTTCTATGTGGTACATTTAAATAATATACTTTATATTTTGTTATATTACACATATAGTACAGGAGTATAGATAGACCAATATGTTCATTAAAATTAGGCGAATGGGGCACGCACGTATATTTACAATCACTTAATTTTCAAATGTAATTTTTTTAAACTTTAAATGTCCTCTTTTAAATGTCAATGTACTTACATAGCGATTAAATTAAAAGTTGAAACTTTTTGGAACGAGACAAACTCAGAACCTACTATCCTTCGAAACTTCAAACTTATTTATGAAGAGTTTTCCTCAAAAGTTTGAAGGAAAATGGAGAAGAAAATGTTATATGTAGACTTACCTGCATGTTGTTGGTGTTACTCGAGGGACACTTTTACTTTCTGGTCGGGTTGAACCGACCCGGATCTTGTTTCTTGAATTGCCAAACTCGTTGCGTGCGATGTGGTGCGTTCGATACTACGAATAGGTACAGAATGCTGGGTAGTCGCAGTCGTGCTGTAACCTCTTACTTAACAGCTCCCCTCTCTGAGTGCAAGAGTACCCATTGCGTGAGCAATGAACGATGTTAATAAAAGAACATGTTACAATTTGTACTTTATTATTATTATATAAAAATTACTTTGTTAATTGAACTTTGACGTGATAAAGAACGAGGCATGGGTTTATGTAACTTGAGTTCTATAAACCCTTGCTTGCTTCGTTTTTTGTTATTGGTGTCAATTCTTTTCCGCATCTAAACTAATTTAATGTAAACTATCCAAAAATAGTACACTGACGTCATATATGTATATACCTACTGTCTGCTTAAAAAGAAATTATCAGGATATCATGTTAGGAATATTGTTATCATATAAGTATTATAAGAACAATAACAGGGCCATTTAACCTTAAGAAAATATCATTTTTCTAGGTTTATTCTGATAGGTGTTGAATAAAGTAAATACACTTACATATGCTCAGGGTAGTTTTATGTATGTTGTCTATCTGTATATAATAAATTATAATATACAATAGATTTAAACTTTTAACACGATTTTCACACATTATTTGATTTTAAATCGGGACTTAATCGTGTATAAAAATATTTTACTTTACCTCGACGTTTCGGACGTGTTGCAACGTCCATGTTCTCTAAGGGACTGGTTCTAGAAGGAACATGGATGTTGCGACATTTTACACACCCTTGAAATTTACGTTTGAAAATAATCTCGAAAGTCGTTTTTCCCGGGATTTTCTAGACCGCAACGTCTCGATGTTTTTCCCGCGACGCGGTAATGCAGCAGCGAGACTGAAAGTCTACTACGTATTATGCAAACGCTTAATAACATAATTAACCCTCTCAGTTGTATTTACAATTGGTGTTCTAAGTTCAACATCAATACCATTTTTTTCAAATCTGTGATAATAGCGCTTGTGTTGACGTTTCTTGGATTGATATTTGATTCTATAAATTCTGCTTATCGTCGTCTTAGAGTGAATACCTCGTATAATGATTTCTATGTATTCAGGACGAAGATAAATTTTAACATTTTAATTAGTTAAATTATACCTCTTTCAGATACTATATTACTTTAATAATATATTTGAGCAAGAAGTTTATATTTTTTCTTCAACAAAAATCAGTAAAAAAGAACTATAAGAAAACGTGTATGCGTAGTTTTCACTCTAAGACAACGTTATGTACATGAGGGCGCACAATAAGTTTCCGGAATGAATAAGAAAAAAATACTATAAATGGTCAGTAATGCATTTATTGTTTCTCAAAATATTCTCCGTTAGCGTTAATGCACTTTTTCATACAAATGAACCAATTTTGGAAACATTTATGCCACTCCTCCGTGACAATCTCTGAAACATATTTTTCATACTCTTCGTCAGCCTCTTCTGGTGATGAAAATCGTTGACCGCGTAACTGGTTCTTAATTTTTGTAAATAAATAAAAGTCACAAGGTGCCAGGTTGGGACTGTACGCGGGTTGGCTTATAAAGTCAACGTTGTTCACCTTCAAGAATTCATTAGTCTGTCTGGACGAGTGAGAACTGGCATTATCGTGGTGAAAGATGATACGGCGTTTACGGTTATTTTTACGGAGTTTGTCAATAATTTCCGACAATCAAATGGTCGTGTACCAATCATTATTCACGGTACAACGTTTCTCCAAAGCAACATTAGCCACGTGTCCTGTTTTATTAAAAAAAGATGCAATCATTCGCTTAGAGGCACTTTGCACGCGCGCCACTTCGGTTGGTTTCGGCTCATCTCGAAAGACCCATACGGTCGATTGCTGCTTTGTTTTGGGATCGTAACTATAAATCCATGTTTGTCACCTGTTACTATGTCCCACACCAAATTTGATGCTCCTTCGTTGAATCTGGTAAGCATGGCATTGCACCAAGTGACGCGATCCGTTTTTTGAGTCTTAGTCAAATTGTGTGGGATCCACCGAGAGCACAGCTTTTTCACACCCAAATGTTTGTGTAGTATTGATTGCATTTGACTCATGCCTATACCTAAAGATGCCCGAATCTCATAGTAGGTCACATGCCTGTCTGTTTTGATCATACGGCGCACACCATCGACGTTTTTGTTGTTCACAGCAGTGGACGGGCGACCATCACGAAATTCGTCACTGAGATTCACACAGTTGCGTTTGAATTCTGCAAACCAGCTATAAATAGTCGTCTTGCATGGTACTTCGTCGCCAAAAGCAGTTTGAAGCCGAGCGAAGCTCTGCTGAGCTGTTAAATTACACTTAAAATCGTAGAAAATCATACTACGAAAATTTTCACGAATTAAATCCATGGTGATGTAGACAACCAATTTCTAAAATGACGCCACAATGTGAAAACAAGTGACAGGCAGATGAAACAAACTGTATTGTACAGCCAAAGAGTTCCATTTTCAAATGTTGTAATTACTTTTTAAATATTGTTTATGTAAGTGGCCAGTTATGGAAACTTATAGTGCGCCCTATGTATACGGTATACGAATACGTGAAAGCAGCAGTGGGATTTCCATAATTCATCATCATCAACAACTCATTTATACCTCCCACTACTGGGCACGGTTCTCCTCTCAGGCGAAGATTTAGTTTTAGTTTTGTGAATCTATTTCGACGTGTCGTTCTTGGTCAATTTCAAATTAAATTTACCGCCTGAATTCCGAGAAACTCAAAGGTGTGAGCCCGGATTCGAACCCACGGCCTTGCTTGAGAGGCGGTAGGTCAAACGATTAAGCTACCAGGGCTTTTTATATCCATAATTAGTTATTATTAATTATGTAGGCGCTAGATAAAGTCTGTTTGAATTGACACTAAACATTAATCATTAGTCGTTATTTAATTAATCCAATTCTTAGAATTACGTTATCACTACCTTATTGTTCATACTTAGGTAATTCATTGCTGCACACATAAAAAAGGGTGACACTTAATTGAAGACTTATTTTTTAATTACCTTCCACTTATCCTTACATATTTTTGTGTTAAGATTAGATCAGAAATATTATTAGAGTGGTTGCGTATTATTCCTAGAAAAAATTTCTGCGCGCCGCCGCGATTACTTTGTCCCGAATGCGAATAATGTTTGTTTTCGCAAATGAATAATTCTATAAGTACCTAGAGTGCCAGTTACCATTTATTACTGATAATTTCGATCCGGATGGTAGTAGCAAAATTTTTCGTCCTTCAGGACAGGCTAGTCATCTAATTGGCCATATTGCCATCTGCCAGATCTTAGATTGTAGTTTTTTTCAATAGCTTTATTTTATGACGTTTTTTCGCGGGAAATCGTTACATCTTCATGGTGGCCATTTTGAAACTCCCGAACCGGATGGATAATCTGACACATTTTTTTAAAATGTATAATAGACGAAAGCTTGGCTACAATCTGACCTGAGGTTAAATGACGTTGCCACGTATAATTATTACGTGTCATATACCAACTACTTAATCTCAAGAAAAACAGTTTTTGTAATTACAGTTTTTGCACAAATTAGTTCAAATATATTACTTCTATATCAATGGAAAAAGTGTGGGAGGCCTTTGCCCAATAGTAGGACAAGAGTAGCAGTAGAGCTCCTTGTAGTAGCAATGGAGCTCCTTGGGAATGAGCTCGTCCAGGGAAATACTGCCACCCTGCCTATTTCACTTCGCCTCTACTAAATCCAAGTCACTGATTAGCCTCTTGGCAAGTTTTTTAATGGAATCCAAGGTGGCCAATGGTATTTAGCAGATCCATTCCATAAGTGGTAGCAGTAGCACATACACCACCGGGACTGTTACTTCGTATAGTTGTAGCTACTGTCCCAAGAAAAAAGTAATCCAATCAAACGTAATTTACTACTAAAGGGCTATAAATGAAAACACTTAGTATTAGTTTACTTTTAATAAATAATATAATTCCAAATATTCCATAGGTATTGCTTTTAAAACTGAATGTTAATTAATCATCCGTACTGACGAACGATCTTAGCCCACTCCCACGGGTAATTTCTCTGGATATGCGCGAGAGTGCGTCGGATTTGTCGAGTCTCTTGCGCGGAGCACTGTGGACACGCGCCGCGCAGGACTAGTGGAGCCAATGCTAGAAAAAATCATGTTTTGTAAAGCTCTAGGTACAACCGACGCCCTAAGATAATTAGCCGACCTTTTGCTTCTTAGTAGATCAATGTGAAATGTATTAAACATACCTGTAACCTGTGAACCGTAAAATTCATTTTGCACGACTTCCTTGTTAAATCATAAGTGAATGACGTTTTAGAAACTTTTTAAGCCAATTTGGTCTTCAATTTACATTATATAAATTCTAATTATAACCAAAAAACTGGAATTCCTTGACACGTTTTTCCAATGAAGGCTCTCAGAAACAAAAGGTTGGCTAGGGGGTCAGGTGTCGTAGAGTATCAATTGTACATACTGTTTTACGATCGTTTTGTTAAAGTGAATTTAGCAACTAATCTTAAATATGAACTTAATAATAATTGAAGGATCACTTTGCCAATTGCCACTTCGACAAATGTACATGACATAGCCAAGAATGCCACTGCAATGAGACAGGTGTAAGTAATCAATCAAATTCAATTATGTCCGAAAGTTTTATATGTAAGTATACAAGAATTTTGTAAACAAACAGTGTTGAAAAAGTATCAGAAGTTATCATGAGGTATTGGTAAAGTTAATTTGGTATTCTAAGAAAATAATTACATAAATGAATCACGTATTTCTTAACTGTATACTTACCCTACTTTTTATAACTAAGTAATAATTAGTGAAACAAGTACTTAGTAAGTAGGTTCACGTAAGATGCTAAGGGTATGTTAAGGTTTTAGTATCTAATCTGTTTCGCAAACAAAATTTATTACCAAATTAATTTTCAATTATTTTATTTGCTAAAAGCTGTTTGCCATGATTAGCATTAGCAATTATTATTTATCAAGTGATATTGTCTAACATTTATTTGTTTAACGTGTGTACGTTGCTCTGATCCCAAAGTAAGTAACTAAAGCACTTGTTTATGGAAATCGGAAACAACGACGGTACCATAAACTGCCAGAACCGATACAATGCAATGTATAAAAGTCAGTCTTCTACATTGACTCGCTCCATGATCGAATTGTATCTGTGACCTCAGAAATAGCGAC